GGTTCTTTAGAGGCCGCGCTGGCGTGGAGACCTCCGGGAAAGCAGGTCTGTGGTGGTGAGAGGGTCTCTGGTTCTGCCTTTCGGCAAACCCGATCCAGCCTCCAGCCCCTTGGCGATGTCCCCGCCACACTCGCAGACCGCAGACCGCATCACTGGTTGGAGGCTCTGCCTCCCGAGCAGCCCACAGACTGCCCGACCTTCCACTGCCTCCCTCTCTGCCTCCCTCCCTCCGACCCTCCCTCTCTCTCTTTCTTTTTGATCTTTTCGAGATAGGGTCTCACTCTGTGGCCGAGGCTGGCCTCAATCTCCTGGAAATCCTCCTGCCTCGGCCATACTAGGATTACAAACACGCACCCCCACGCCCAGTGAGGAGCTTGCTCTTTCTGCGGATCTTCAGTCCGTGCCTGATCATTCCTACATTTATGCAAACGCACTCTAGTACTTAAAAAACAAAGCAAAACAAAACCCTGACCTTCCCTGACCCTCTCTCCAGCTGTTCCATCCAGGGCTGTCTATGCTGGTCTGGGTTTTCTTGCTCCTCCTCATTCATTTCTGGATGTATTTGTTTAATTTTTTTTCTATATAAACTGGGGGTCGAACTCAGGACCTTGTACTTTCGAGGCAGGTGGCGGAACCGCTGAGCTAAATCCCCAGCTTTTGTTTCAGGTTTTATAGAGATATACGCTTTTAAAGTATATAAATGACACCACACCACATGAGCTATTCTGGAACTTGCTTTTTAAAGTCTACATTGTTTTTAAAAATAAAATTGTATGTATTTTTAAAAATAAATTCTCTTATTTTTGAGCTCTGTGTATACAAATACACGGGAGAGCTGGCATTCATTTTAACGACTGCACAATACTGGAGCATGTGAATATATGCATTTTATTTATCCAGAGCTAGGCTACTTCCAGCTTTTAACCCGATATTTGTTTTTTTTATATAGGTATATACATTTTTTGGGTTGACAGATAATAAACCACAATTTATAGGTATAATATGATTCAATTTATGTTCACAATTTCTTTTAAATGCTATAATAAATGTTTTTAAATATAGCCATGAGTCTGTGTCAGAGTTTTATCAGAAATGTATAGCTAGAAGTGTGCAGTGAGTGTAAGCTCTGTTGGGTCACACAGTGTATGAACTCGACAGGCCATATCCTACATTTCTATCTCTAAATTAGTTTTCCTACATTTTAGTTTCCCAACACTCTCAAAGTGATATTTTAAAATTTTTACCAGTATGTTAGGTATGAACTAGCATCTCATATTGCTTTTCTAGTTCTCTGATTATAAATTAGTGTGGGTATTTTTCCTCAGGGTTCCTCAGTTGGATTTCCTCTTCTATGAATTACTCCTATCCTCTGCACAACTTATTAGGCCGTTGTTCTTTACACTGTATAAAATCTTTTCATACATTCTGATGGGACTGTTCTATCCTCATATTTTGCAGGTATCTTCTCCAGTCCTGGAACTGAGGACCTTGTACTTATGAGGCAGGCTTAGCGCCATTGAGCTACATCCCTGGCCTTGCTTATGTTTAACTTTATACGAATCATTTACCATACAGAAAAGTTTGATTCTGATGTAATCAGTGCTTTCTCTTATCAATTTTGTATCTTCTGTTTTCTATCTTGAGAATACAGATATTTCCCCCTAACAGATTTAATTTTTAGTTTTCATGCTTATGTCTCAAATTCATCTGGTATTTAGATTTGAGTATGTGTGAGGTAATTATCAACCTTGTTTTTCTCCCACATGGGAAAATAATCACTCTATTTATTAAATAGTCCACTGTTACCTGACTATTACCTACTCAATATAGCAAGTTTCCAAATTTGTTTGAGACTCTTTTTGGATCTCTGGTATGTTTCACTGGTTTATTTTTCTATCCCTAATCTAGATTTCACTATTTTAGTCACCACAGCTTTATAATGAAACTTAATGTGTAGTAAAAGCAAAACAAACAAAAAACCCAGGCCTCTGCCTTATTCTTTTCAAAATGTTTCTCAGAATTTTGAAATTGCAAATTTTAATATCTGTTTGGCTAGTCCCTCAAAGACTTCTGTTGAATTTTTAGTTGGAAACATTGAATTTAGAGATTAATTGGAGAGAATAAACATTTATGATTTTATTTAGGTCTCCTATGTCCTTCAATAATGTTTTATAACTTTTATAACATTTTATAAACATCTCCCCCTTGTGATGGAGTGGATCCACTTTGCTGACAGTCTCTGTTGCCATTAGACATTTAATCCTGTTCTCCTGTATTTTCTAATACTAATTGATCATTGCCCACATATGGAACCATATTGATGTTTGTACCTTGCTGTTTGTCTGCAGTTTGTAATTTATTTTTAATTACTTATGCATACAATATTGTCTGCAAACAGTAATTTTTGGTCTTTTGTTCCCAATTTATTTCTTGTAGTCCTTTTTCTTGTCTTCATGAAAATTCTAAGACTCCATTACAGTTTTGAAGAGCAGGAATCATGGATGTTTCCAAGTTTAATGATAATGTATGTGAAGTTCCACTAGTAACTACTATGTATATGGCAGGTCTTGATTTTTCAATCTTTAAAACAGACTTACTTTTCATACGTATATGTTATAGTAAAATGATTCTGTAGTAATGATTGTGAAAAAAACGAATCTCTCCTTACCACCTCCACTTTCCATCTCCCTAGAGGTAACCATTTTCTTTCATTTTTAAGTTTTTGTTGAAGAAGAACGTCACCATATACAGAAATAGAGAGGGTAACATAAGGAAAGCCCATGTCTCTATCACCCAGCATTTGCAGTTATCAATGGTTAATAATCTTGTTTCTACAATTTTCAACAGGTTGCATAATCCAGATTCAAACAGGTTCTACCTGGGCACTGGTTAATGTGTCTCTTGCATTATTATTTGAAGATTTCATTTCCATCCTTCTGTACCTTCTGGGCCTGGCAGTATGTTTTTTGTTGTTGAATAAACAAGATAGTTTTATCTTGTAGTCTTCCCACCTTGTATATCCTGAGAGTTGCACCCGGTACTCGTGTTTAACAAGTTCCTATCAGATTCTGGTCAGTTGGGGTTTGGGGGGTCAAGAATGCTTTGGGAGTGATATTGGGCACTTTCACCAGGGTTCCTGCTGTCTGATGGTCTTTTTCTGATGTTAGCAGCCATTGATAACTACTGCATAAAGCCGTTATCTCACCAGGGTTGCAAATGATTATATTCCATTATCCTGTCATTGTTCATTAATTAAAATAATTCTATAAAGAGAACAATAACCCCATCAACTACATATATATGTATATATATATGTATGTATATATGTATGTATGTATATACACACACATATCTTTTTTTTTTTTTTTTTTTTTACCAGGGATTGAACTTAGGACCTTGCACTTGAAAAGCAGGTGGTGGAACCACTGAGCTAAATCCCTGGCCCTACTTAGATATTTTTAAACACAATTTGTACAGGAAAGGCAGGATGAATGCTTAATACTTCTCTATTATTAATCAGTTAATTAGTTTCAAAGTAGCAAATCAGTTACCTAGAATTCACCAGTTCATGGATTTAAACATATTTAATGGGTTTCAATCCTTGTAATTACTGTTGTTTTGGTGCTCAACTTGACCCGTCTTTGGCCATTGGACTCTTATTGAAGTGGGCGCCTGAGCCATTTTATGGTGGTGGTGTGCATTTGCAATGAATATTTTTTAAATTGTACTGTACCTATCTTCTATTGAGATATAATTCATATACCCTTGAAAGTATAGTTGTATTAGTTACTGCTTACGAGGGCCAGATGTAGAAAACTCCCATTCGTCTGCCTGTGTGCTGAAGACTGAAGGATCCAGTCTAGGGCTTGGAGCCCACAGCAGTGTTGTAGCTGCTGACAGACGTCCTGTGGGTCTTCAGTAGATGATGGGCAATGTCCCAGGCTTTGTGAGATGTACTCAGTTTCAAATGGTCTTCATATAAAACCTACGCATCTCGTGGGGTTTAGAAAATACAGACTCTATGCCAGCAGGCCACTCAGACAATGTGACGGTCACACACCAGCTGTGTTCTTGTTACATATTTGGGCTGCTGGGCCAGGTGGGGGCTGGTGGCTTGGAGGCTGTGTTTGCTTCAGATTTTCCTGAATTTGTTTCCTCAGGCTCAGACTGCAAGGTTCTGGGGGTGCCTGACCTTGGTCCAGTCTCGTGGACAGTGCCTCAGATGGGAAAGGAACTCACCAAGGGAGGCAAGGATGACAGTCGCATGTGCTCATGAGACTCCCGATGCAGCTCAGCAGGCGACACCCAGATGATCTTCCAGTGCAGGCTTCTCAGGAGATGGACATTAATGAACCGGAAGGACAGATCACACCAAGGAGCCCAGCTGGAGGACACACACAACTGCCACTCCAACGGGGGGCCTTGTAATGCTGTCTAACACTGGGGTGGTGCTCAGTGGGGTGAGCGCAGAAGCAGCACAGGGGTGTGAACACCTACTGGGAGGC